GCGAGTGTCCAAATACTACGGTACAGGCTAATTATGTGATTAGTTAAGTAATGGCTTCGTGAAACAGATTTTTAAGTATGATTAACTAATCATAATTACAGGAGGTTAATTATGATTAGTGATTTAATCATAATTAAAGTTAATCACGCTTCGTGAAACCGGCCCCAGCTGTTTATCGTGGAAAGGTCGGCCCACGCACAGTAGTATGTTCTTATCACAACCTTCTACCTATTGTTAATTATTACGTGTTATTATAAATTTATTACACAAATGATCTAATGCCCCCATACGTCAACCATCCCATCCATTTAAACTAGCTTACACTGTAGTAGGATCACTACTCAGTGATATCAATGTATATGATTAGCAGGGAAGGTTTAGGGGGTGGCTATGGCCTTGATGTGAACAGTAGAAGTATGACACCTCTCTGTGGTTGGCAAGGAAGCTGTAGACTTGTTAGGGTTAGCAGTGGTGTGATGTAAGTAAGGGGATGTAGGGGAGGGGGGTATAGCATTGGTAGGGTCACACTGGCTAGGAGAATCTAGGCTCAGTATACTCCTAAACAGTCTGCCTCTAGATCTCCTAAAACGTACTCCCTAACTAAGCACTGACGTTGCAATCGAATGATAAACTCTGGTGTAAGTGCCTGTGAGGTTAGCAGGTGGGTGAGGCTTATGGAATCGGTATGGTTAAACTGGCTAGGCGAATCTAGTCTCAGTATACTCCTAAACAGTCCGCCTCTCCTAAAAAATCTTCCCTAACTAAGCTTCTTTGATGTTGCAATCGAATCATAAACTCAGGTGGAACACGTTAATTTTGCGTTAATTGTTTCCGTACGCGTGCGCTGCAGGAACTGCGAGAGAGAGTGCTTCGCGGCAAGTACCGCATCCCGTTCTACATGTCTACCGACTGTGAAAATCTGCTGAAGAAGTTTCTCGTGTTGAACCCCGCACGACGAGCGTCGTTAGAGGTACGAAGGTCGAAGCTCGCGTCGTCAAGGTCGTCGTTAACCTTAAGCGCAGGGGGAGCGATTTGTTTATTTTGTTGTCGGTTCAAACGCTCGCGTTCACGACACAATCGATTTTTGAAATCGTATATCTGGCTGAATTTTCGGAATTATTTCGAGCGGATTCGTTAGCGTAGACTGACGATGCTGTTGTTCTCTTGGTCACCTAGCAAATCATGAAGGACAAGTGGATGAACGTCGGGTTTGAGGACGACGACCTGAGGCCTTTTTCGGAACCTATTCCAGACTACAGCGACTCCGGAAGGATGGGTAAGTCGCACCTAGCATCGTACATCTCCCCCCCCCCCACTATAGAAAACATTCCCCCTCTACCTTGCACATGGGCACATTGACTTTTATTGCCCGTGCGCAATGTAGAAGGGGGGCGGCGTTTGCCATGGGGGATGTATACCGTGTTACGCAGTATTACACCTATTGTCTTCACTATTGCCCGGGAGCAATAGAGAGACAAAATAATAGTTGAATTATTTGCAGTGTAAACAATAAGAGTTACATTAAGTTAGACTGTAAACGATCCACCCAAGATGAGACGAGTAAATACGGTCCGTCGTGTTTAAATTAAAAGCTTGTGTTCTCTCCCCTCGGCAGAGCTGCTATTGCAGAGATGCTCGCGAGACAATACAGAGACAAAATAATAGTTTAATTATTTGCAGTGTAAACAATAAGCATTACATTAAGTTGGAGTGTAAGTAATTAAAAGCTTGCGTTCGCTCTCGCAGAGATGCTGCTGAAGATGGGATACACGCGGAAAGAGATCGAAGAGTCGCTGACGAACAAGAAGTTTGACGACGTCATGGCTGCCTACCTGCTCCTTGCGAAGCGCGCGTGCGTCGAGGTGAGTACGGCACGAGGCTGCCGCCGCCGCCGCCGCCGCCGCCGCTGACATTACACCACAGCAGACTGTCGCTAGTGATGGCCGCACGAAGGGCCGGTAGTACCGGGGGTAGACGTATCGCAGCGTATTCAGGGCTGAATTACACCACGACAGACCGCTGCTGCTGCTGACAACCCCACGAAGGGCCTCACATACATATATATATATATATATATACATATGCTCTCTTTACTTGCTGGGGATGCCTTACAAAATGTGTTCGCGGTGATAAAGTGCCTTAGCTGTTTCGCCCCTGTGCCCTTTGCATCAATTTTACGTAGTGTACGTACCAGTGCAACACTAGATGGTTGATACGGGATCCTTACGGGTCCCGGAATATGTGGAGAGTCTTGGAATTTTAAAATGCCATTTTCTATATCTGGGAAAATGAATAAGCTATGGTCATGAAAATCACAGAAATTCTCGTGTAATTCTCATGTTTGGTCCTAGAAAGTCCTGTTACAGAGATCTCGTTCGAGAGGCAATAAAATGTGATTAATCCAACATTTTGTCCACTAATTGTTGATTTGACGATGCAAAGCTCAAAAATTTTAATCAGGCGGAATCTCACGGTCATTGAAAACGCATTGTTCACATCCGCTAAGGCTGCAGAATGTTTAAAAACCTAGTACTACACGCTATGTGTACCTACTAAACCCATACGTTCACTGACGACGCGACTAACGACCTCCGACCATCTCTCGTTAGCTGGACAGCGGTGACTCGCGCACAGGCAGCAGCATCTCCCTGATGACGCCCGCCGTTACCACGCCGACGGTCTCCGACGCGTCGAGCGCGCAGTCTCCGTCGCACGGCAAGGTGCACCGCAGCACGTCGGCGCAGCAGCAGCAGCAGGCGCAGAAGCCGCGCCGCTTCAGCCACGGAGGTGAGAAGGACGGTATGTACACACAGGTCGGTCGGTCGTCGGAGTGTGTCGTGTCGTAGTAGCCGTGTCGTGTCCGTGCGTGCGTGTGGAGAGCATGGCGCTCTCATCTGCACTCTGCTGCTACTCTGCTGGCGCGCCCGCCGCCGTCACCTTGTGTGCATGCCCTCTCTAGATCTGTTATTATTATTACGTTGCACAGTTTTCTCTTGCTCGGTGTATTTCTATGTGTGTTAGTGTATATGCATAGATATATAGCGAACCAACCGATATATATATGTGTGTGTGTGTGTGTTGTGTATATATATGTATATATATATATAAATATACACACACATATATATATATATATATATATAGCGGTCGGTTTGCTAATAGGAAAGGTTTCGTGAGTTTTGTAGTGGTTAGTGAGCAGGAGATTGGTGTCGATGTTGTAAATTGATATGGTTTGCTGCGTTAGAATCCGTCGCGAGCCTTTCAGCCGGATTGATTTTACTCTATTATGCCGCCTGGCTGTGTTTTCCTGTTTTTTGGCAAGCGAGCTAAACTCTATGACGTTGTACGTTTCTGTGTGATTGGCTGTTTGAATGGGCTTTCTATGCAGAATTGTGAGAATGCAGAGTGAAGTAAGGCTTTAAAAAGTGCTGTTAAGGTATTTTTGATGTTTTGTAGAAAATAGCCTGTTCATAACCACTGCAAAACAACCGTTAGGTATTTCTCGTCTGACTCATTAAGAACTAATACAATATTTATCTGTATGTCATTTACTTTCTATTATTGACATGAGAGTTTTAATACTTCTAATGATATATTATACTTCAGTATAGAATATCTACGGTAGAATTTTTCTGTGATTTACTTAGAAAGTTTCTACTTTACAACTAAAATCGTAGGTCTGTAATTCTTTTGTAGCTGTTCCTTAACTAAACTGTTTTTATCTCGTGTTATTTATTTGCAACCAAAATTATATCATTAAGGAAATGTACAACTCCCAACCAATTTAAATCTTCCCATTTCAGTATCTATTTGCTAACACTCCCCCATCAAATTCCATACTCTTGGAGTTTTTTTCCACCTTCCTAAACAACCCGGTATTCATCTTAGTGACACCAAATTGTGGGTTTCGACAGGAAAATTATGCAAGCTACTTTGCTTTTGTCTTGCTGCAATTTGGTGTGGGTGTAGTGTCATAGTGATACATACATACAGCAACCTACCCACTAGCTCTTGCTGAACCAAGAGTGTTTTTAACCTCAATACAAGTTGCTCCCCACTACACTACACTACACTACACTACTCCCCACTACACTACACTACACTACACTACACTACACTACACTACACTACACTACACTACACTACACTACACTACACTACACTACATTCCCACTATCACTTACACTACTCCCCCACTTACACTAACTACACTACACTACACTACACTACTTCCCCTACACTGTTACACTACTCCCCACTGACACTACACTACTACCACCACACTACCTGACACTACACTATCCCCACTTACACTACACTACACTACTCCCCACTACACTACACTACACGACACTACACTTACACTCATCCCCACTTTTACACTACACTACACTACTCCGCCACTACAAGCTACACTACACTCTCCTCACTACACTATACTACTACCCACTACATCACTACACTTACTCCCACTACACTACACTACACTACTCCCCACTACACTACACTACACTACTCCCCACTACACTACACTACACTACTCCCCACTACACTACACTACACTACACTACTCCCCACTACACTACACTACTCCCCACTACACTACACTACTCTACTCCCCACTACACTACACTACTCTACTCCCCACCATATTGCTCACTGACATTGGCAGGTGCTCTTGAATGCTAGACAATGACCCTCTTGATCGTATGTGTTGTTTACCGCCCGAAATTTGGGAGTCGTACATTTTTCGTGGTGATGTGTTTTTGGTGAAACTAATGTCATTCAAAGTTATTTTTACAGGTACATCTTCGCCTGCAAGTTAAATGTGAAAAAAATAGAAAATGTGTGGCGTCAAATGGGTTTTTTCGGCCAGTTTTAATGTTGACAAATGTTTTTTCCTTTCGAATGACATTTTTAAAGAATTTGTGCAAGACTTTGGATTTAAAGGAAAGACTTGAATTTTTATATTTATCGTTTAAATTTCTGTGTTGACGATGAACTGGAGATGTCACTATGGAAACAGTACATCTGACGATAAAAGTATATGCTTGTGTTATAGTATATATATATATATATGTATATAAACATATACGTATGTATATATATACATACATAGATGTGTGTACATACATAATGTGATGTAACACGTGTATCAGCCGCGGCGCTATATTCTCTAGTCTCGCCACGTTCGCCTTGCAGTGCCTAAAGGCTACAGCAGCACACGCGCGCGGACAACACCAGGGGGCGCCATGTCGAACAGCGGCACGCCGACGCTCACCGACAACAACGGCACGGTGGCGCCCTCTCCGACGCCGATCATCCGCACGGCGCCGCGCATGCGCACCGGTCCCGTCAAGGCGATGTCGTTGGACGCGTCCAGCCCCGCGTCGCCCACGCCACGCGTCCCGCCCGCACGCAAGGCCGTCGCCGGGGGCGGGGGCGGGGCCGGCGGGGCCGGAGGAACAACGAGGAACAACGTGCTGCCGAGGCGGAACACGCTGCACGTCTACGGAGACAACAAGACGACGGCCGCGGCTGATCGGAACGGCTCGTCGCAGGACGGACCGAGGTGAGTGCCATCTAGGGGCCGGTGGTGGCGGGGGTCGTTCTCAGGTCGCGCAGGTGACATTTATCTCAGGGGGGGGGGAATAAAGCTGACATTTGCCGGGGGTGGTCGCTAGGTGGCGCTTCTAGCGTCTATGGTAAGCGTCGCATTTTCGTCGGCTGCGTCGGCGTGAGGCGGCGCCATCTGGTGTTTCGCAGCATGCGGTGAATGCGCTAGTATGTATTCGTTAAATGCGTGTTTCATTTGTTTGTTAAGTCTTGTAGCAGGGCATAGAACCCTGTTTAATCAGGATATAGAACACTGTATAAGCAGGGTATAGAACCCTGTATAAGCAGGGTATAGAACCCTGTATATGCAGGGTATAGAACCCTGTATAAGCAGTGTTTAGCACCCTGTAGAAGCGGGGCAAAGAACCCTGTCTAACCAGGGTATACAACCCTGTATAAACGGGGTATTGAACCCTGTACATCTGTGTGCCGCGTGTCTCAGACATGTCTCGGAGATGTCTCGCGTCTCGCTCACGCGTCTCGTCGTCCTTCCTCTCTCTATTCTCTTCGTTCTACTCGTGGGTGACATCCACTCTCTTGCTGTGGCGTAGCGTGTAACGTCTAGCGACTAACGACCTTCGGGGGCGACTAACACACAGTGCACACACACACACGCACAACACTTGTGTTGTTGTGTGTGACTACACAGTGCTTCGCGGTGGTAGGGACTGTACCGTAGGCTGCGTCCTAACTCTCTCCGTGTGTCTTTCCCTTTTTTCTAACTCGTCGTCGCCGACAGCGATACTAACGCGGCCGGTATTAGGTCCCAGTCCTCGGCGCGGCCGAAGGGACATGCAAAGTCTGCGTCTGCGTCCGGACCGGGGAAGGCTGGGCTGCCGTCTCCCGATGGCTTCATGCAGGACCCTCTGCGGCCCACGTGAGTGCCTCAAGGATCTACTCTCTGTGTGTGTCTTTGTGTCTTTCTCTCTCTCTCCCTCTCTGTGTGTGGGTAGCTGTGTCTCTCTGTCGCTCTCTCTCTCTTTCTGTCTCTACTAGAGTTGTGAAATGTTGCTGTGTCGCCGATCGACAGCTGCCGTATTGAAATCTGTTTTCTCGTGCGTGTTGGGTTTGTGCCATGCTGGGTGCGTGTGTGTGTGTGTGTGTGTGTGTGTGTGTGTGTGTGTGTGTGTGTGAGTGTGTGTGTGTGTGTGCTGTGTGTGTGTGTGTGTGTGTGTGTGTGTTTGTGTGTGTGTGTGTGTGGTTTGTGTGTGTGGTGTGTGTGTGTGTGTGTGTGTGTGTGTGTGTTGTGTGTGTGTGTGTGTGTGTGTTGTGTGTGTGTGGTGTGTGTGTGTGTGTGTGTGTTTGTTGTGTGTGTGCGCGCATAGCACGTTACGAGTTTTTCGGTTCAAAAGTAGCGCAGTGTGCGTTTCTGTGTGCTTGCGTCTGTGCGTCTGTGCGTGCGTGTATATACAATCGGGTTCGGTATGTTCTGTACATGTACAGAGCAATAATCTGTGTAAATAAAATAAAAGCGCGCCGCGGCGACGTGTTTAATCCGGTTTAGGGTGATCGCGGGGATCAGCGACAGACACACGTCAGCGATAGATTCACCGTGTGTGTACCCCCCCTTACTACGTAGATTCACCGTGTGTGTACCCCCCTTCCGTGGCTAACTGTATGCTGTGTGCTGTGTTGGTGGTGTGCGTGACATTTGATTGCACTGATTCGTTTGGAGATTGCCGCTCAGTATCTGTCGATTTCCGTCTGGAACTACTTTTCGCGTGAATTTATCTGTGATTGGCTGACTGCATGACAGTATTGAATGTAACATTTCGCATGTGTCGCATGGTCGAAATTAGTGACAGATCTGTGATATGGCGACAGTGTTGCACGTTTCCAAAATTAAGTCGAATCGTTTGCAAAATTTGAATCTTGATTTCTTAGTCAGCACTGACACTTCTTTTTATTTTAACGTTTTAAATGCAGTCATTTTATTATTAGCTCATCTGGCGAAGTCAGATGCAGCTTGTAGAATCGCATGAGCGTCCGTGTGTCCGTGCGTCCGTCCGTCAACAGTTGTGCACAAATCTTAACCGCTCGACGTACGGTCACGATATTCGGGACGTCGGGGGGGGTCGTGACTCGGGATGACCAATTTGGGGGGTCAAGGGCCAAAGGTCAAGATGTGTCAACGGAGGGGGAATATTTCCTCCTTAACTTACAGTATAGGAGGAAATACGCGAATTGCGGCACAAATCTGAACGGCTCGACCTATGCTCTTAATATTCGGTGTATAAGTTTATGGGCAGGAAACCCATCACCAGTGCGAAATTGGAGGTCACAGGTCAAAGGGCAGTGGGGGAAAGGTCAGATATCAGACATTTTCTGGGACATGGCCTAATGGACAGAGTGAAAAACTTTTTGTTTTAGCGCTGACCTACCATTTTATCACTTTATTGAAAGGACAATGAATGTGCTTTCCACTGACGTGCGAAGAGTAAGTGTCTGATAACCTTTTGACCTCAGAGGAGGGTTAAACATGGATTTGTTGACTGCTTAACAAAGGACTGAACTGTGTTTGATGGTACTTGTGTGATCGTGGAAGACTTAAATTTCACAGTGAAATTCTGCATGCAAAACTTACTTGAACAACGTTTACGCGCCTAATCATATATGAAGTTCATTTCTCTATATGAGATTCTGTACGTTGGGAATACATGTCAATAGCACTACGCAAACCGTTGTTTTGATTAGGCCAACTATAAATAGGCTACCTCGCAGGTGGGTGGCTGATAGTATCACAGCATGGGCTAAACGAAGGTAGCAACTAGTTCGGATTATCTATTTTCCCTGCACCTAGTCAGTATGCACGCCATCTATCGGAACAGAGTGAGAAGAATGTCCCGGCAGGATAGGTCAAATGTATTTGCGCTCAAAAGTGCAGAAAGAATTACTTTCTTAACTTCAATTTAACTCG